CTGGGGGTACTGGAGCTGCTGTAGCTCCTAGTGGTGCTCCTAGTCCTGGGACTGGTGGTGCTGCTGTCGCTGGTACTACTGGAGGTCCTGGGGTTGGCACTCCTGGAGGTGCTACTGGTGCTGCGGGAGCTGGAGCTGCTGCTGGAGGTTCTGGTGCTGTCTCTGCTGGTTCTGGGGGAGCGTCACGGCCGCGGCCGTACTTCGTTCCGCTTCTTCGGCAGGTTCTTGGTCAGCCGCCTCCTCCTTGTCCTGCTCCCTCCTTAGGGTGTCCTTCGCCTGTCCGACCACAGTCGCAGTTCCAGCCCACCTCACCTCTTCCTGGTCCTTCTCCCTACACTGGTCCGACAGGAGGTCTTACAGAGCGTCGTGAGCCTGAGTCTCGTCCTGTGTCACCTGAGTCTCGTTCTGCGTCACCTGTTCGTGCTGCTCGCCCTAGTCGTCGTGTCCCGCGTCAGCGTCCTCCTGCTGTCCCCGGCACTCACCCGATGCTGCTTCGTCTTTCCACTGCTCCACGGCGTGTCCCTCTGCCTTCTCCTCCTGCGTCCTCCCTTCCTGCCCTTGCTGACCCAGAGTCTGACTCTCTTCGTGCTGCTAGTCCTACTGTCGCGCGTCTCCTGTCCACAGTTGTCACTGACCCTTCCTTTGAGTCAGCTGCTGCGTCTGTCTTAGTCACTGAGCTTGTTGACTTTGCTGCTCACTGTAGACTAGACTACGCTGCCAGTCTTGTTGCTGAGTCTGAGTCTGTCTGTCCTCCGTCCATCGGGGGTGAGTGTGCTCTTGGCACGGACGTTCTTGAGGACAGGTAGGAGGAGTTTGAGTGCTTTGCCGCCGCTGTACCTCATCTCTTGTCCATGCTGATTGCACCTGAGGGAGACCCGGATGCTCCAGACATCCCGACCCCGCGCTCTTATGCTGAGGCGATCGCGGGTGAGTACTCCTCTCAGTGGCAGTCAGCCATGGATGCAGAGATGGCATCCTGGAAGTCCACTGGCACTTACGTCGACGAGGTTCCCCCTCCTGGGGCGAACATCGTCAGTGGCATGTGGATTTTCAGGGTGAAGCGGCCGCCAGGTTCTCCGCCTGTCTTCAAGGCTCGGTACGTCGCTCGAGGCTTCAGTCAGCGAGAGGGAGTAGACTTCTTTCAGACCTTCTCCCCCACCCCGAAGATGACCACTCTTCGGGTGCTGCTGCACGTTGCCGCTCAGCGTGACTACGAGCTTCACTCTCTTGACTTCAGCACAGCTTTCTTGCAGGGCAGTCTGCACGAGGAGATCTGGCTGCGCCGTCCACCTGGCTTCACTGGGTCGTTTCCTCCTGGTACCCAGTGGAGCCTCCGGCGGCCGGTCTACGGTCTCCGCCAGGCTCCACGTGAGTGGCACGACACACTGAGGACTACACTTGCGGCTCTTGGGTTCTCGTCTTCTACTGCTGACCCGTCGCTGTTCCTGCGCACCGACACTTCACTGCCGCCGTTCTACATCCTCGTGTACGTCGACGACTTGGTCTTTGCCACTGCTGACACTGAGGCTCTCGCCCACGTGAAGTCGGAGCTGCAGAAGAGACACACGTGCACAGACCTGGGTGAACTGACAAGCTATCTTGGCTTGCGGATCACCCGGGACAGAGCACGCCGCACCATCACACTGACTCAGTCACACATGGTGCAGCAGGTCCTTCAGCGCTTCGGCTTCACCTGGTCCTCAGCACAGGCCACTCCTCTGGCTATAGGTCACTCGCTCTCAGCTCTGCCTTCGGATGAGTCCGTAGAGCCTAGTGGTCCTTACCCAGAGCTAGTTGGTTGCCTCATGTACCTGATGACTTGCACTCGTCCTGACCTAGCATACCCTCTTGGCCTTCTGGCCCGCTACGTGGCTCCTGGCAGGCACCGAAAGGTGCACTGGGATGCTGCAAAGAGGGTATTGCGATACTTGTGCAGTACATCGGGCATGGGGCTCGTGCTTGGAGGGAGGCACTCAGTTGTTCTCACTGGGCACTCAGACGCTTCTTGGGTTGACGACCAGGCTACTCAGCGGTCGTCACAGGGTTACACCTTCAGCCTTGGCTCTGGTTCAGTTTCTTGGCGTTCTACTCGCTCGTCTTCAGTTCTCAGCTCCAGTTGTGAGGCTGAGATCTACGCCACAGCCATGGCTGCACAGGAGTTACGCTGGCTGACCTACCTTCTGACTGACCTGGGAGAGCGGCCTAGTTCTCCTCCAGTGCTGTACGTCGACAACAAGGCTGCCATTGCCTTGTGTCAGGAGCACAGACTGGAGCACAGAACGAAGCACATCGCTCTCCGTTACTTCCTGGCTCGAGAGCTGCAGCAGCGTGGTCAGCTTTGTCTGCGTTACGTGGCCACTCGGGCCAACACTGCTGATATATTCACCAAGGCACTTCAGCCTGGTGATCATCAGCGCTTCTGTACTGTCCTGGGGCTTGTGCCCACTGTTCCTCACTTACTGTAGACTTTGTCTGTACTGTGATATCTATATATATATACCTGCTTGTTTGTTTTGTTAGGTTGAGATCACCTTGCTGTTTGTGTTGTCTAGATATGCCTCTGCATTTGAACTGGCCTTGTGGCCCTTTGCTTGTGCTCAGACTGTGTGGTGACGTTGTGATCCACCCTGAGCTTGCTTTGCCTTTCTTGACTGGTCTTGTGACCCCTTGCTCTCCCCCACTTTGCCTATGGGGGTGTGTCAAACATTATCATATATGTTATTGATGTGTAGGCTATAGTGGGTTAGCCTTTAGGGGGTACACAACTCTAGGGTTTCATATTTGTACTCTCATCTTTCATAGTCCAATCACTTCTTCATTCTGACAAGCAGGTACAATAGGCACGCAAGTCCCTATCTTACCGTAGATGATTGTCCCCCCTTTTGTTGCGCTAACTAAATATTGTGTGATTCTCTTGGTACAGGGAACTTGAAGAAGCCACCCCCAGAGGTGGTCGTGAGGTGGATCTCACGGGCCTGGAAAGCAGTGCCCGCGGACCTCATCAAGCGCGCCTTCCTCACCTGTGGCATCAGCAATGCGCTTGACGCCAGTGAGGACGGCCTCGCCATAGCGCACAGGCGAAGCCAGCTGACCGCGGAGATGGACGTTTCTGACTCCATCATCGCCGATGGCTTCTTTGGCAACAGCTGCCAGGAGCCCGAATCCGACGAGGAGTAGATTTTATAGGTAGAAATGCTATACTTTGCAATCTGTAGCTAGATAAAACTGTCAGTGATGATGTTGTAGATGAAAAGTTATCATGCTCATGTTTAGTGTTAATTAGAGATGTGTTTTTTTTTTTTTTTTTTTTTTTTTTTTTTTTTTTTTTTTTAATTGAGTTCTCCACAACGTGAAAAGGGTGCGCTTATAACAAGTACACCCTCTAGAGGGGGGGGCGCTTATAATCGAGTTCCGGCCATAAGTGCCATGCTCCAGATAGAAGCGCCGGCGGCCTTAATCCAGGGCTGACGTTTCATTTTAAGCTTCCCTGATTCCGGAGAAAATTTCCCCCCTCTATTATGGGTGCACATTTTCCAGAAAAGCAGTACCTTGATTGCTCAGGGTTGTAAAGTAGTTAACACTGATTGTTCAGGGTCGAGAACTGAACATCAGAGTAGTAACGCGCGCTTTGTTACCGGGCAAAATATCCCCACTCTCCATAAAGTCTCGAAGTTTCGATCAGAACGAAGTTTCGAAGAAACTTCGTCTCGATAAAGCGGGAAGGGGGGGGATTACGCACATGTGGGGGGATCACTGCGATCAATCCAAGGCGGGGTCATCGGAAGAAAACTTCCGAGAAACTTCCTTTCGATAAGTCGGGGAAAATATCCCCACTCTCCATAAAGTCTCGAAGTTTCGATCAGGACGAAGTTTCGAAGAAACTTCGTCTCGATAAAGCGGGAAGGGGGGGGATTACGCACATATGGGGGGATCACTGCGATCAATCCAAGGTGGGGTCATCGGAAGGAAACTTCTGAGAAACTTTCTCTCGATAAGTCAGGGTCCACACAGTCGATACTCTGTTAAGTCAGGGCTCACTAACAGCCTAGTCTGTTACACTGTACTCAAAATCAGGGATAGTTAAACTATTACTCTGATTGGATCAGGGCTGGAAATTCAATAACTCTGAAATTTCAGTCTCCACGAAGTTGAAAGCCTGAAATCACCCTGAAATCAGGGTAATTACCCTGATAAAATCAGCCCTGCCTTAATCGGATTGCGCCTATATCCGGGGCCATACGGTACACGATATGATCCATTAAAAAACTTCAGATTGGGCATTCTTAAGTCATAATATTCCCATTGATCACTTCATTGTCTATGGATTTCATGCGTGGACCATTTGTAACAGCTATAATGCACAAAATGAGAATTAATTAGAATGCACAAAATGAGGAATAAATTATAAAAATGCTATCATGTGGACCCCCCTGGCGTGTTCCTACAGCTTCTTACCTCTTATCAGGCTCGCGTCAAACTGCACTGAAACACTGCACTATCTCATCAAGCAAGACTGTACAACCGCGAATCCGCCAGAACCACACAAACAGAGCTTCCTACAGATGCCACACTCAAGCCTCGCAGACTCCCCCCGATGCACTGCGGCTGATGCGGCAACGCCTCCGTTAGCCTCATGATTTCGTGACACCGTCAATTCTAGCTCTCTGAAAGCAACCTTCACGAATGGCTTCGTCTCGTCCGTTGGATCGCATCGGCCTCCCGCAGCCGCTGATCAACCGGTTCTTCGCGAGAGGCTTGACTACTGCACAGGTGCGCAGGCAGGGGGGCTTGAAGCGGTGATATCGCAGCAAACTGGGGAAGGGAGGAAGGATAAGCCGGTGGGAAACCTGGGGATGAACAGGGGAACGAGCGGGTAAAGGCGATCCTCCGCTCCTCCCGCTCCTCCCGCTCCTCCCGCTCTTCCCGCTCTTCCCGCGCATCCCGCGCTTTCCGCGCTTCCCCTCCTCCAGCAAGTCCTCTCGTTGACCGCCGTTGACCTCATGGAAGTGCTTGACTGCGACGGCGCGACCGTGCGCGACGCCATGATCGCCGTCTCGCGCGCCGCCTGCCCGCCGTCCTGCACCGTTGCCGACATCGCCGCGGCCGGCGGAACCGGCCACCTGCGCCTCGACCTCCCCGTGCTCGACGCCGCGCTTGCCGGCGGGTTACCCTGCGGCGCGATCACGGAAATCGCGGGCCCGGCGGGCGCGGGGAAGACGCAGATGTGCATGCAGGCGGCGGTCATGGCGACGCTGCCCGCATCTGCCGGCGGGTTTAACGCGTCCGTGGTGTATTTTGATACTGAGAGACGGTTCAGCCCGAAGCGCGTGGCGGAGGTTGCTTTGAATCGGTTCCCCGCCTTCTTTTCGTCCCACTTGGCCATGGAACAGGTTCGAGCACATTTCGGCACCAGTTCCCTCTTTCTGTCGCTTCCTCCCTCTCCTCTCCTCTCCTCTCCTCTCCTCTCCTCTCCTCTTCTTTCCTCTCCTCTCCTCTCCTGTCCTCTCCTCGTCTCTCCCCTCACGCTCTTCCTCTTCTCCGTCTTCTTTCCCTCTCCCCATCTGCGCCTTTCGTTTTCTCCTCTCCTCGTTCATTTCCTCCTCAATCCATTCTCTTCCCTCTTATCACTTCTGAGAATGATCAAAAGTGACTCTTGTCCACCTCTGACTTTGACTTCAAGGCCTTTTTTCCCCGCCCGTCCTGCCTATCTGTTCGTCCCTCCCTCTCTGCCCAGCCCAGTATATGTCCCTCTCCCGATTTCTTTCTTCCCCTTCCACCGGCTCCTATCACGCATCCTATTAGTACAACCCGTGTCATCAGCAGAGCTCTTGGATAGGTACGTACCATACGTTGACTTTTGAGTACTTCAGTTCAGAAAGATATATTTTATGACTCTCTTATGTCACTTACTTCACTTCCCCCAATCCACCGCCTCTCTTTCTCATGCTCATGCGGAGACAAAGTTTTCCTGTCTTGACAGCATGTACATTCTGATGCTCTCCCGCCCCCACCCTTACTTTCCCCTGACTCAACCTGTGCTCCTCCCTTACCTCTGATGCTTCTCCACCTGTGCCTCAACCTGTGCTCCTCCCTTATATCTTCCCCCGTTACAAAACGGCCGACGTCGCCAAGCCGTGTGAGTCTCGATTCAAAATGACGGCTATCGTATTATACGGTCCGTATAATACGGTCGTTTTTTACGGCCAAATATCAAAAAATACGCCGTATTTTTGATAGACTAGTTTTGTGGTGTTTTTTTTTTATAGCAATCACAGAAAATAGCTCTACAAGGTTGCGGAAGGTAAACACTAGCCTAGCATAACAGCAGAACAGAGTGTTACAATCAGAACTCTACCATTGCCACTACTACCGCCCACACTACTCATTACTCCTACCCTATCCTATCCTTCCCTCTCTCTCTCTCCTCCTCTGACCTGCAACCTCCTCTTTACTCTACTCATCCTCCTCCTCCTCCTCCTCCTCCTCCTCCTCCTCCTCCTCCTCCTCCTCCTCCTCCTCCTCCTCCTCCTCCTCATCGTCATCCGCCTCCTCCTCTTCCTCCCCACTAGACCCATCACTAATGTCCCAAGGATCCTGGCCATTTCGAGCCTTGGTGGGCACCTCCTCCTCCTCCCCTCCACTGCTATTCGCCGCCTCCTCCTCACCCTCTTCCTCTCCCACAGATGTTGCCTTCCTCTTTCCCTTGTTAGGCTTCTTGGCCTTCCCGTTTCTCTTCCTTTTAGCGGACTTAGGCACCTTCTTCTTCCTCTTCCCAATGTTCCCGAAAAGGTCCCAATCAATGGTGCATAGCTGCTCAGTCCCCTCTCCCCCCTCCTCGTCCTCTACTTCCTCTTCCTCTGCTGCTGCTGACGGTTCAATGGTAGACCCTTGCTTGAGGGTGCCGTTGGCCAGATCGGCATAAAGCTTCTCCCTCTCCCGTGATTTCCTATCGAATGCATCCCTGGCCCTCCTGGCGAACGCCACCTCAGTCACGTCCATCATCCTTTTGGCGGTGAGGCGGTTACAGTCCCGCCTCTGCACACTTGCAATGGCGGACCAATAGCGTTCCACCTCAGATGACGTGATTGGCTGTGACAGCACCGTCACAGCTAGCCCCATGAGCGCTTGCACTTCCCCCCCGTACATCAGCCACCACTCCGCCTCCGTCAAGCGCCCACTCGCCACCAACACCGTTGTTGCCGAACGGGCGTCATCGGACCCTATCAGCCCCTTTCCCTGGTGAAACTGCGTCAACTGCGTCAACATCAGCGTGCGGTGAGCGACATCCACCCCACGGGCCTGGATCACCGCTTCCGCCCCCAGCCTTACCTCGGGATCGTTCTTCACCTCCCCGAGGTACTGATTCCGGGGGTTGAGAAGCCATCCAATAGCATGGAGTGGATTGTGGAGCTGGACGTCCCACCTCCTGGCTATAATAGCCTTGATGGCGGACAAAAAGGCCGGCTTGTCCTTGGCCGACAAGAGAGATGTGCGTTTCAGCATCATTTTGGCTGCACATAGGGAGAAACGGAGTGCACGAGGTGAGTACAATGGGCGGGAAGGGTATACTTTAGTCCGAACGTGTGGCAATTCACAGCTCACGTGCCGCCTCTGCCGCATCGTTTGTCTTCACCGTGGCATCTAGCATGAGGCCATAGATCTGGCCCATGACTAGAGCACGCGTGTCAACCACCCGCAGCACTTCGTACACGGGAGTCATGAGGCGGAGGACCGCTGTCGCGCAGTCCCAAAAGAACTCATCCAAGAGAAGCAGGCGGACAGCTCGCCCCTCGTCAGACCATGCCACCGCCACCGCCTCCCACTCCTCACTTATCACCATCTCCTTGAGCGCTCTCTTTACTTCCAGGAAGAGGGTAAGCATGATAACCTGCGTGCCGAAGCGTGTTGCACCGGGTCGCACCAAGGATAATGTGCTAAACAACTCACGGAAGAGCGCGACCGCGGACGCGCTGCCCTTGACGATCACAACCACCCTGTGCACCTGGTTAAGCACCCGCTTCACTGCACGGATGTTTCCGATCTCGTGAAGCATCAAGTCGAGGACGTGCGCCGCACAGTTGTTGAAGAAAATTGCTGGAAACCCGTCACGAAGGATGTCGGCTGCCCTCCGGTTGTTGGACGCATTGTCCATGAACACTTGGACAACCTTCTTGTCTCCAACATCGGCGATCGAGCGCCGGATGAGGCCGGCCAAGTACTCCCCCGTCTTCTTCGCGGTTTTGGAGTCCACGGTCTTCACAATGACAGGCGCCGTGTCATTGTGGGCTATGACACACACGAGCCCACGGCTCTTCATGTAGGTCCAGCCGTCCACGAAGATGGTGCAGCCGCTAGTGTTCCAACTCTCTTTCAGGGGACGCACGAGGTCCTCAGTATCCGCCACCAGTTTCTGAAGCAGCACACCAGAAACCCTGAAGGGGGATGGGAGGGTGTTCTGTTTCCCGAAGGCAACAGCCGCTGTTAGAATCTTGACCGAATGAATGACTGAACTAGCAAACAGGTGGGTAACAAAGGAAACCTAAAAGTGTTGTACCCTATAAGAACTACCCCACTACAGCCTAGATGGACTATAGCATATAAGTTTGACACACCCCCATAGGCAAAGTGGGGGAGAACAAGAGGTCACAAGACCAGCCAAGAAAAGCAAAGCAAGCTCAGGGTGGATCACAAAATCACCACGCAGTCTGAGCATAACCAAATGGCCACAAGGCCAGTTCACATGCAGAGTTATATAAAGGAAAACAAACAATACAGTGAACACAACCTAGCAAATGTAAGCATGCAGGTATATGTATATAGAGTACAGTACAAGTAGAGTCAAGAAGTAAGCAAGTGAGGCACAGTAGGTACAAGGCCTAGAACAGTACAGAAACGCTGATGATCACAAGGCTGAAGTGCCTTGGTGAAAACATCAGCAGTGTTGGCCTGTGAGGCCACGTAAGCGAGACGAAGCTGGCCACGCTGCTGCAACTCTCGAGCAAGGAAGTAGCGCAGAGCAATGTGCACGTGTGTCTCTTCTGCAGCTCGGACTTCACGTGGGCGAGTGCCTCAGTGTCAGCAGTAGCAAAGACAAGGTCGTCTACGTACACGAGAACGTAGAACGGCGGCAGAGTGGTGTTACTGCGTAGAAACAGAGAAGGGTCAGCAGTGGAAGGAGTAAAACCAAGAGTAGCAAGAGTAGTCTTCAGTGTGTCGTGCCACTCACGGGGTGCCTGGCGGAGACCGTAGACTGGCCGGCGGAGGCTCCACAAGGTACCAGGAGGAAACGACCCAGTGAAGCCAGGTGGGCGGCGCAGCCAGATCTCCTCGTGCAGGCTGCCCTGTAGGAAGGCTGTGCTGAAGTCAAGCGAGTGGAGCTCGTAGTCACGCTGAGCAGCTACGTGCAGCAGTACCCGAAGAGTGGTCATCTTCGGGGTAGGGGAGAAGGTCTGGAAGAAATCAACACCCTGTCGCTGACTGAAGCCACGTGCAACGTAACGCGCCTTGAAAACAGGCGGAGAACCCGGCGACCGCTTCACCCTGAAGATCCACATGCCACTGACGATGTTCGCCCCAGGTGGGGGAACCTCGTCGACGTAGGTGCCTGTGGACTTCCAGGAAGCCATCTCGGCGTCCATGGCTGCCTGCCACTGAGAGGAGTAGGGACCCTCTGTCGCCTCTGCGTAAGAGCGTGGGGTCGGGATGTCTGGTGCATCCGGGTCTCCCTCAGGGGCAAGCAGCATGGACACAAGAGGAGGTACAGCAGTGGCAAAGCACTCAAACTCCTCCTGTCTGTCCTCAAGAACGTCCGTGCCAAAAGCACACTCATCCCCAACGGACGGAGGACAGACAGACGCAGATGCAGACTCAGCAACAAGACTAGTGGCGAAGTCTAGGCGACAGGCTGCAGCAAAGTCAACAAGCCCAGCAACTAAAGAAGACGCAGCAGTGGACTCAAACAAAGGGTCAGTGACAGTAGTGGCCAGAAATCGCGTGACAGTAGGACTAGCAGCACGAAGGGAGTCAGACTCCGGGTCCGGACCGTCAGGAAGAGAGGATGCAGGAGGAGACGGCAGAGGGACACGCTGTGGAGCAGTGGAAGGACGCAATGTCATAGAGTGAGTGGCAGGAACAGGAGGAGGACGCGGACGCGAAACACGACGACCAGTGCGAACAATGCAGACAGGCAACACATAACGAAACTCAGGTGACGCAGGACGAGACTCAGGCGACACAGGACGCGACTCAGGCTCACGACGCTCCGTAAGACCTCTAGTCGGTCCAGAGTAAGGAGAAGGAACAGCCAGTGGAGAGGTTGGCTGTAGCTGCGACTGTGACTGGACAGGCGGTGGACTCAGTAAAGGAGGAGTAGGACCAGGAAAAGGCGGGAGACCAAGAACCTGCTGAAGGAGCGGAACGTAGTACGGCCACGGCCGCGCAGCGCCTCCAGAAACAGCAGAGACAGCACCAGTACCCTCAGCTCCAGGGTCGCCAGCTACAACTCCCGCAGCACCACCAACTCCAGTACCTCCAGCAGCTCCAGCTCCAGAAGCACCTCCAGTAGCAACAGCTCCAGCACCTGCAGCACCACCAGCCCCAGCAGCTCCAGTACCTCCAGTACGAGCACCTCCAGGACCAGCTGCTCCAGCACCTCCAGCAGCTCCAACACCTGCAGGACCTCCAACAGCACCAGTACCTCCAGTAGCACCTCCAGCAACTCCAGCACCAGCAGCACCTTCAGCAGCTCTAGAAGCTCCTCCAGCAGCTCCAGCACCAGCAGCACCTCTAGCAGCTCCAGCAGCACATCCAGCACCAGCAGCACCAGCAGCACCTCGTCAGTGGCGAGCGTACCACTCACGAAGCTGCTGCGGAGAGAGGGGCTCCCGCCGCGACGGGACACCCGGAGGACCTCCAGACGCAGCACGCTCAGGCTCAGCACCCCCAGGCTCAGCACTCCCAGACTCAGCACCCCCAGGCTCAGCACTCCCAGGCTCCACACGCTCAAGCTTAGCACCCCCAGGCTCCGCACCCTCAGACACAGAAACCCCAGGCTCAG